GGCAGGGCATGACTGATGCGCCCTCTGCCTGTGCTTATGTGAGAGAAAGCGGCCGAGGGAGGGAGCGTGCCGAGCCCGGGCTGCCCTCCCCTCTCACTTTCCCTCGGAAGCGGTCGCCTTCACGCTCCCCACTTCCCTTGCCTCCTCCCCAGCGGCGCTACCTTCCCTCCCCTTTCCTTGCCTCCCCTCCTCTCTTGAGAGTCCGAGGCTAGAGAAGCAATTTCAGCCGTGGGTCTGGAGGTCTGCAGGATTAACTTTAAAACCAAGTTACCATGCTTGTAAAGTTGCAATCTGGAGAAGGTAGATTAGGCACAAAGGAGAAAGACCCTATATACTTGCTAGTTGCTGGGCTCCTGTCCTCCTACTGGCGCGGCTCGCCCAAAGCCCCTCATCTAAATTACATAGAGACCTGGAGTTCTTAAAGTTCCAAGACCCAATAATGGCAAAAATCCCGCCAAAACCTTGCAATAAGCAGCAGCCCTGCTCTTACCCTTCCTCTGGGTAATGTAAGTCTTATTACTGGAAGAGCTTGACCGAGAGTATAATAATAAGCAGACTTTTTGAGATAGATGCTTAATGAGCCATTCTTTGGAATCCTAACTTTGGGCAAGTGGCACAAGGGGCCAAAATCTTCTGAGGGAATAGAGGAACACAGAAAGAAAGGTTCCTCTTAAGGCCACAAGAAATTGAGTTTAAATGAGGAAGATAGATCTTTGTTAAATATTGTAGAAATAGCATCAGAGCAACTGCATTTGCTTTCTTGGAAAAGCACCCAGAGACCCAGTTGTTTAGCTTAAGCTGTTGGCTATTGTTTTGTGGGGTTTTTTTCTCCCTTCAGGCAGAGTGGGCATGTTTCATTGTGTCAAACTTAAGTTTCAGGGAGGAGGATATCCAGAGCATGAAAATTTGCCTAGTTGTGTGCCTACTTTTAAATTGGTAGACTTTCTCATTTGATTTAGCTTCCTATGAAATCTGAATCTCCTCCCACCGATCATTCACTTGAAAGCTGAAATAAGACTAAGGTCCTAGAACCCTTTGCTTTCTATATTCTCTCCTTGTTGAAGGTCACTATTTTTACAGAGTATTTTTTCCCCTCAATTCATCACTTCTGAACACAATAAATTTACTTTTGCTTCCACATTTGAGTATGTCAGATGTTTAAGTACTATCCTCCCAGCTAAATAGCCCTGTTTTCATGTTCTTAATAAAACATGCACTGCTGAGAAATTAGACTCAGTACTTGGTGTTCCAGTAAGCAAGCAGATAAGGGTCTTCCTTGTCCAGACACCACTATGCATTTGTTGATGAATCCTCAGATCAAGTTTATTTTCTCACAGTGTTGACTCACATTACATTTGGAGTCAACTAAATTCCTCAAGATGTTTTCCTGTGTACTGTTTTTTAGTCACGTATACACTACACAGCTTGGTGGACTCACTTTTCTGTGTCCAATGTCTGAGTTATTTTGGGTTTTTTTCCCCTTTATCTTCCTTAAATTCTACACAAAATTCTTCAACACAACTTGATGTTTGTGTTGTTATGAGCCATCAAGTCACTTGTGACTCATAGCAACCCTATGTACAACAGCTCTGAACCCTGCTCTATTCTGGAACTCTAACACTTGTCAGTGTCTTATTTCTTATTTCCTGCCATTCTCCTATCTAATCAGCCTGTCTCAATTGTCTTCTGACACTGATAAATCTGTGAAAAAGAAAGAGTAGTCTGGAATACGATTAAGGTAGAAACTGGAGTTCTTTTTAACTACTCTGTATTATATTGTTGTATGCAGTCAAGTTGGAACCCACCCAAAGCTGACTTTCCAAGAAATTCTCAAAGAAAAATTGCTCAGAAGAGATTGTCCATCCTTCTCCCATGGCGCAACTGGTAGATTTGAGCCACCTGTCTTTTGCAGCACAGTTTCTTACCATTAGGCCACCAAAGCTCCCTAGTCTCTCATAACTTCTTGTTCAATACTGTCAAATCCGACTCATGCATAGCTCACCCTCGAGCAGGTTTACAGAGGCAGCACATGCCATAGGAGGAGATTGTCTATCATTCTCCCTTGAACCACCTGGTAGATTCAAACTATATACCTTTAAATTGTCAGCATAATCCCTTACCACCTTAATCTTGATTGGGACCTCTGATGGCCTAGTGGTAAGGAGCTGCACCACCAGTTCAGAGGCATGTGGTTTGTATTCCCCCACCACTCAGAGGGAGAAAGATGGACATTCTCTTCTTGTGTGTTTTTCTTCCTCTGAAAACAAACTTGCTGGAAGTCAGCTGTGAGTTGGTTCAGACTTGACCATATATAACAATTACATTATGAACTAAAGTTTATAGTTTAAATTAGGGTTCACGCTTCTCCTTTGTATGGCTCTATAGGTTTTAAGGAAAGTATATCTTGTGTCAGTCACTGGGGTAAAGAGGGTAGGTGTGTCAGAGACAAAAAGGTTGGCACAGGATAGAGCAGGGTTTAAGGCTCTTGTACATAGGGTTGCTATGAGTCACTAGCGACTCAACGGCACATATCAACAACAACAATAATATCCCATATCTATCACTATAATATCATGCAGAATAGCTTTATTGCCTATAAAACATCCGTGCTTTACAGGTGATATTTTGCTTCTGAAGTTTTATTTGAAATTGTTTTCCTCTAGTACTAAAAGCATGGTCCTTGTGAATTGAGACCGTCTGTGAACATGACACAGATGGGACTGTAGATCACTTATGTCAATATGATTTATTTGTTTCTTCTAGGAAATGTGAAACTTGAAAAGATAAAATTATAAACCAATAATTAGCGTCATTCTCTGATTCAGGAAATGCCCACAAATCAACAGTGATTAAATTCTCTTTTCCTTCTCTCCAGTCAGAAACCTGGGAAGCTCAATTGATATTTAAATTCGAACTCTTTTCAGATCAGAGAAATACCCACTGGGGTAGATTTTAAACTCTGATTGTGCTCTGAGCTGAATCTGATTCCTCAAGAGTGTAATTAGTTGTCAGATTTTGCACAGCTTTGGCAAGAGTGCAAACTTTACTAAAAAAGAAGTGGAGAGCCAGTTAGGCAAAACATGGTAAATATCACTGTCTTTTATCCAGTGCTGATATAACTTAAAGATCACAACTGAATTCATTTTGTAATAGAAAATGGAAATTTATTTTATCCCACTTTAGAAGACAAAAGATAGAATTCAAGGTCCCAGCTCTATGGGAATACTTTCTATTTCGATCAACTCTGGAAATGGTCCCTGATTCTTCTGAGTCTGTATTCCTGGGAGAGCAGGGGTTTTGGTAGGTGGGCCTTTCTCTTCTGACACTAACTCTCTACTTCTCGCGCTGCTCCTTTTATAAAGGTACTCCTTAGATTATGAAGATCCAACTCATGCACTGTCCATATTTAAAAAACAACTGACTACTGTCAAGAGTGCCTATCTTCCTCTTAAAGAGTTGTAGGGGGATTCAAAGTCCCAGAGAAGCTGGGCCTTTGTTTCAGTATCACACCTCCCTAAAGACAGTGCCACCAATTGTTGTTGTTGTTGTTGTTGTTGTTGTTGTTGTTGTTATGAGCTATTGAGTTGTCTATGACTCATAACAACCCTACATACAGGAGCCCTAAACCCTACTTTGTCCTGTGACAGTCTTATTGTCTACTCCATTACCCCAGTCACTAAATCAGTGCATCTCATTGAGGGTCCTTCTCTCTTGCGCTGTGTCTCCACCCTCCCAAGCATGATGTCCCTCTCCAAGGACTGGTCAAACTTTGCACCATATCCAAAGTATGTCAGACGAAGCTTCAGAATCCTTGACTCCAAGGAGCAGCCTAGTTTCACCCTCTCTAGGTTGAATACTTTTGTTCTCCTAGCAGTACATGATTCAATACTCTTCTCCAACACCACAATTCAAAGGCATCAATTCTCCTTTTGTCATCCCTAATCGTTGTTCAGCTTTCTGATGCATAGCAAGTAATTGCAAAGATTATGGCCTGGATCAGGCACACTTTAGTCTTCAGACTGACATCGTTGGTCTTCAGTACTTTTGAGAGGTATCTGATAGAGGTTTTTCCCAGTATAATTTGTTTTTTTATTTCCTGGCTGCTAGTACCAAGAGAAGTGAAGGAAGAAGTTCAAGCTGCTTTGAAGGAAATAGCAAAAAATAATGCCCCAGGCATAGATGGTATACCAATTGAAGTATTTCAGATAACAGATGTTGCCTTGGATGTGCTCACCTAGTTGTACCAAGAAATCTGGAGAACAACCACTGGGCCAACTGACTGGAAGAGATGTATATTTGTTCCCATTCCAAAGAAAGGTGACCCAACTGAGTGTGGAAACTACAGAACAGTGT